CGTAAACCTCGCAGGACCTCAGCGGAAAATGGTCCAAAAATCTGCGTATTGCGCAGCGTTGACATGTATATCGATGGAAATCAAACAGAAAACAGAAAGAGCGCGATGAAGGCTGAATTGTTTTTGAACGAAACATTGAATCAGCGGAAAAAAACGTTAGTGGCGACCTTGCATTGCCACCTGTGTGAGGTGGGCGACTGTGAGAGGGCGTGTGCTTTAGAGACGCAGGGACTCGGCAGACCAGCCGACATTTCCAAGTCTCCTATGGAGAAGGTCAAGCCAGCCAGTCGGCTGTCGTTTCTCTGGAACTAAACGCAAAATGCGACGAGTTGCTACCGGCTTTGTTTCTGCTGTTGCACACGAGCTATCACTGTGACTACAGGTCCATACCAAGGGTTTCTGTCTTTCATCCATTGCCTATTCTATGTGTATTAAGCAAGTAAAACAGTTTTCTTCCTGTTTTTTTAAACAGCGACATTTTTGTAGTTAGAAACAATACAGCCCCTTCCTCTCTCTCTACTTCTGCCCGTTATCTCCCCCTCCCTCACCCCCCAAAAAGGGTTTTGAACCGGTTTTCTGCCCGAGCGCTTACCAACGACTTCAGGATGACCTGGTCCGGCGGCTCTCAGCTGCAGCCGTATGTATGTATGCCTTTGCATCTCTCTGCTCATGTGTCCGCTCATGGCGGTGAGGTCATACGTTGTTTTGCGGGAGAGTGGCGCGCTCGCCCTCAACCCCGCCCACTAATGATTCGAACGCCGGTAATAATAACCGCTGCCAGCCAGCGCTGGATTTTCGCCAACTTACGAGGAGAAGAGTGTCGTCGTCCCCGTGTGATGTCGCTGGCTGACCCTGGAGTCAGCCGAACGACTCTCCGTGTGCGCCTGTTAATGCAGTTATTGACGTGAGAACGAAGGAAAGCTGTCGCCTACACATCTTTCTTACAGAATTCTAAACGGCTACCTATGAATGTCGTCGCGTGACGACGTCAACGATGCCGTATGGCCTTCTATCAGCTCGTTTATCAGTGCCCTTAGCTGACCTTCGTTTTGCGTCACCTTCTCACTGCCATCTCTAGTGCGCTCCTCGTTCTGCGCCAGGTCAGCAACGAGTGTTCGCCATAGCGAGCACGCCTTCTTACATCACCCCTCGTCTTCGCTTCTGCTTTGATCACCGTGCTGCTCGCTCCCTCACCTACATGTCCCGAATAGGAACTCATCTGGAGAGACTGCTTCTCACCTTCCCTCTTCACACATCGATTGCATGGCCTTTGACCTTCCTCGGGCTGCACTCACGTTTCCCTCTCTCTCACTTCCTCACTTGCCCTCATGTCTGTGCTTTCAACCTTCTCGCATTTCCAACGCATCATGGTGTTTCGCGTTCGTTTGAAATCTCATCCTGCCTATTTACACAGCTGTAGACTCTGATTATGCAACGAAAACTGAATTTTGTTTTGTAATCTTTTAATCTTCCAAACTTATCCACTAATTAATTAATTGCATTTATGAATATTACCACCGTCATCTCTTCTGCAATTGTGATGGAGTTGGAGGGTTACTTAAAAAAGCTGATGTCAACATTTTTCCATTTTTTCTACAACTTTTGAAATTCGCATATTTTGCTGGCAGAATGTCTCGATATTCTATCTGTCGTACTTAAGACAGCTTTATATCTCATAGATCACTGTAAGAATGTGATATTTCGTTGGCTAGCTCCTTAATACTCATTTCGCTAA